TTTGTTGGAGAAGACCGTTGGGAAACTTGTTTGTTAGATGAGAAATATGAAATTCACTGTTGTGAGTCATTTGAAGTCAGAAAAAAAGAGACAAAAAGAGTTTTAAGCGAATGGGAGGGAAATAACGGATATACTACTATGAATATGAGTGGAAAAAACTATCTTAAACATGTTGTCATTGCAACTCATTTTATACCGAACCCTAACAATTTACCTTTTGTAGACCATATAAACCGTATAAGAAACGACAATAGACTTGAAAACTTACGTTGGGTCACTCGTTCTGAAAACAATAAGAACAAAAGCAAAATTGGAGATATTGTATTCGAATTTGTCGACGAACTAGAAGATGAAACAATTGAAATTACAGACTATGGCAAGCATACGTTTGAGTTTTACTACTATAGCGAAGAACAAGACTCTTTCTACTTTTATACCGGCGTAAACTATAGGAAATTACAAGTATGTTTTACTAAGGCAGGCTATGCTTATGTAAACACTAGAGATACAGATGGAAAACGCGTTCAAATACTTCTTAACAAATTCAAGAAGCTATATGGCATACCATTTTAAAACGTTTTTAAAACAGTGTATTTTTACATATATAAAATGCTTCAGGTTGAAAAACAAAGAACAAAAGTAGCAGATACAAAACCGTTAGACTATATCTTTACAAACGCTGGTAGAAATATTTCAGATGAAGAAATTTCATCTCGATCTTACAGGTTTGACTATCCAATTCGTTGGCTTCAAAGTCCTTCAGATGCAAAGGCAATAGGATTTAGAAGAGTTTTGTTTTCAAATAGAACTAATGCATTCATGTTCGCAGTATATTTTCATGGTCAGTATAAAGGTTCTGATGGTCTAATAGAAAAATTTGACGAAATGAAAATCTTTACAATTCGTTCAGACGAAAGTCTTGAAAAAACTCTAAATGACTTTCAAACTCAAATAAACAAATACTACTGGGAATTTCAAGAAAAATACCACTCTTTACTAAATGGAACATACTATCTAAAACTAGAATACGACAAGATGAACTCCACCGTTTCATTTCAAAAGATTGAAATTAACCCTCCAAGAGATACAGAGTTTTTATATTGGGGAGTAGACAAACGTTCTTGGGCGCAATTTCTTCGGTTACTAAACCAGAACGAACCATTGCCACCAGATGGTCCATTTAAATTTATACTCCCACCAGCAGATTTGACAGTTTATAGAAACGTGTTTGACCCTCAAAATGTCATGTGTCATGCAAGTTTCAGTTCAAGCAACAACAGTTTTCTGTGTATCGGTAAGGACTTTTATGACTTTGCTTCTAAATTCTACGAACCACCTAGTAACAGTTTCTCTGACTTTCAAGTTTGGTTCACAACAAACGGTGTGCAGCATATTATTCCATTGTACTATGACTTTTATCTCGAATTGTCTTTCATATACAACTACGGAAAAGTGCTGAAAAAGTATTGAAAAATGAGTTTTGGTTGAAAAAAGAGGTTGAGCCAAAAGTGGTGAGATCTCAAAACAAGCATTTTGTGAAGAATATACCAACCGCCGGAATTCCGGCGGTTGCTTTTTATACAAAATTCACCTCTTGAATTTTCATGAATTTCCTTAAGATAGAAAAAAAGTGAGTTAAAATGAGATTTTTATCGTTGTGGTCCGACGGTTAAGCCACAAACGAATGTCCGACGGTTAAGCCACAAACGAATGTCCGACGTCCCACCAAAAAATATTTTTTATTTTTATTGTAAGAACTGAAATGACAGTCGAAGCAAAAACGTTCACGAACAAATCTAATGGCGAAACATTCACAAAAGGCACTTACAACGGTATTGAAGTCTTACGTAGAGACAAGGATGGTTATATAAATGCAACAAATATGTGTCAGCAGTTTAGGAAAGACTTTAGAAGGTTGTTGGAAAATAAGTCCTGGGAAGAGTATTTTAAGGCATTTTGTGAAGAATATACCAACCCGCGGAATTCCGCGGGTTGCTTTTTATACACAGTTCATGCAGGAATTCCCGATGAAATCAAACAGGTTAGAGGAACGTATGTAGACCCAAGACTTGTAAACTATATAGCAATGTGGGCTTCTCCAAAATATTGCATAGCAGTTGGAAAAATTCTGGACTCCATCGACAAGAAAGTTCATGAGAAATTAGATGAAGAAGAACTTGAAGATACAGTAGAGAATGCAAAACCTTTGTTCGAAGAAGAAGTTAGAAAAAAGTGCGAAAAACAAATAGAACATGAACGTGAGATATGTTCTGGTTATAGAGATTCTCCATACGAACTAGACCAATGGGAACAAGAAGATTTAAAGAGAGAATTTAGAGAATATGAACTCGCTAAAGTTTCATTAGAAGCTGCAGAAGAGAGGTTAAAAGTTTGGGGTCGTTTTGTACAAAAATATTGTGAGTAAATGAACCATTTTTTTTATTGAATTCGGCAAAAATATATTTTAGGTTAGATGGTTTTTAGGTGTCACTACGTCACCAGGTCACTCGGTCACTCGGTTAAACGAACTTCTCTGAAAAAGTGTGACAACATGACATTTTGACAACAACACAGGAGATAGATTTCTTCGTAAATGTTTTGTATAAAAAAGCAACCGCCGGAATTCCGCGGGTTGGTATATTCTTCACAAAATGCTTGTTTTGTTGAGACTTCTTCGTCAATGTTTTGTATAAAAAGCACCCGCCGGAATTCCGGCAGGTGGTATATTCTTCACGAAATGCTTGTTTTGTTGAGACTTCTTCGTCAATGTTTTGTATAAAAAGCAACCGCCGGAATTCCGGCAGGTGGTATATTCTTCACGAAATGCTTGTTTTGTTGAGACTTCTTCGTCAATGTTTTGTATAAAAAGCAACCGCCGGAATTCCGGCAGGTGGTATATTCTTCACGAAATGCTTGTTTTGTTGAGACTTCTTCGTAAATGTTTTGTATAAAAAGCACCCGCCGGAATTCCGGCAGGTGGTATATTCTTCACGAAATGCTTGTTTTGTTGAGACTTCTTCGTCAATGTTTTGTATAAAAAGCAACCGCCGGAATTCCGGCAGGTGGTATATTCTTCACAAAATGCTTGTTTTGAGGTCGAGCCAAAAGTGGCTCCACCTGTTTTTTCAACCAAAACTCATTTTTGTCTGATTTACGCTCATGTTTGACAAAACATATACGATGAAATCTATTTCCTGTGTTGTTGTCAAAATGTCATGTTGTCACCGTTTTCAAAAAGATGTTAGTTGACCGAGTGACCGAGTGACCGAGTGACCTGGTTCCACCTAAAATATATTTTTGCTGAGTAAAATGACCAAATTTCATGAATTTCCTCATATGTTTGCTACCCCGACTTTTCCCGGGGTAGAGATTCCGTACGAAAATCGTGAAAAAATGACCAAATTTCATGAATTTCCTCATATGTTTTCGTCCCTCGAAAAACCGAGGAACGAGATTCCGTACGAAAATCGTAAAAAAACTCTATGAAAATCGTGAAAAATTGCGTCCCGCGGAAAACCGAGGAACGAGATTCCATTCGAAAATCGTAAAAAAAACTCATGAAAATCGTGAAAAATTGCGAGTGGGAGAAAAACCCTGGTCGCCTAAAACTCATGAAAATCGTAAAAAAATGCGAGTAGGGAAAAAACCGGGGTCGCCTAAAACTCATGAAAATCGTAAAAAATTGCGACCCCGACTTTTCCCGGGGTCGCCTAAAACTCATGAAAACAGTGAAAAAATGACCAAATTTCATGATATAACTGTATTTTTTTGACGAAGAGAACTTTTGCACTTCGTCAAAAAATCCCTGAAATCATATCTTTTATACAAGATAAAAAAATAGCGTTAGTTTTTATTTTTTTTTATTTTTTTATTTTGTATGTAAGAACAGGAAATGACAAGCACTGAGTTTGAAACAGTTAGAAAGATAGACAATGAGACCAAAGTGGTTAGAATGGGTGATTTAAACGTAAGATACTCAAAGAAATACAAAAAATATTCTTTGTCAGACATTCTAACACTATCTGAAAAGAAAACATCCCACGACTGGGTTAGAAATGCTTCAACTCAGAAAATTTTGACAAAAAATCCTGAGCTGATGATATCGGTAAGATTCTATGGAACAAGAGCATATCTCATCGACAAAAGTCTTATACCAGTAGTTTTGTTCTGGATTGACCCAGTTGTTGGATATAATTTCATAACATATGGTTCATTCGATACGGAACGTTGCAGTGAAGGCTTACTTTACATCGTTCAGAAACCGAAGGACTTCAATACAAAGAGATATAAGATAGGAAGAACATTTAATATAACTCAAAGATATGACAGTATAGTCAATAGAGTTAAGGTTGCGTTTGTTAACGATATGAGAGCTGCTGAAACAGAACTACTTGAAAAGTTTGAGAAATTGTATGGTGCTCCCACGAAAGGTAAAGAAACGTTTGAAGTAGATGAGATCGACAAAGCTATAAAATTATTTGACGAAGTTGCTGAAAAATACATGTAAAGCGTTTATTTTTGGTCTTTTATACAAGATAGAAAATAACGCTAGTTTTTATAAAATATTTTTTTTTATTTTGTATGTAAAGACAGATATGACAACAACAGAGAACACAACAACTGCTATCGTTCATGAAGCCATAAGTGAAGAATACGAGTGGGTTCAGTTTAACAAACAGTTACGTCTCATTCGTTCGGTCAAAGATGACATGTACCAAATGCAAAGTATTTTGACGGCTTGTTTTGCTCCAGACACTAAACACGCAGACGACTGGTTCAAAAACCAAAGCACACAAGAACTTTTGAGTGAAATTTCTCTAGACCGAGAATTCTCGGCCTTGCATAAAACACATGAAAATCGTAAAAATTTGGCTCCTGGTTTGAGAGGTTGGTATGTACATAGACTTCTTGTAAATGCTGTTGCAATGTGGGCTTCGCCTCGTTATGCTTGGTATATTTACAGACTTCTTGACGAAATTCATAGACAAGAACGTGAAGAGATGGAAAAGAAACTTCAAGCAAAAGATGAAGTCATTGAATCCAAAGACAAAAACATACAGAAAAGAATACCACGTTCGGTACCAAAAGGAAAGGAAAAGAACTATAAGTATATGATTTACACTGAAGAGATGGAAAATGAAGAAGACAGAGATATGGTTATGTTGCATTTAGTCAGAAGAAACAACAAAAGCTTTTACGACTTAGCTAAGATTTACAAATCTGACAGAAATTGGTTCTATCGCGAAAACTTACCGATTTCAATGACACCAAATGAAGATGTTAAACAGATAGTTCAAGATACGTTACCTCAAACACACTATGATATGAAAGGTTGTACAATACTTACATTCAAAGAAGATTTGCCGCTACTGAAGGAAAAAATAACAGAGTATTTTGACAACTTCAAAGAGGAAGAGTAAATGAACCATTTATTTTTCAAGCTTGACACCAAAGATGGCTCAGGTAGCTCTAGATGGTAAATTGTCTTGTCAAATCCTTCTGGCATTCCGAGTCCTTCCATCCGACAGGAAAAGTTTTTCCTTCCAACAGGAAAAAAATTTCCTTCCAACAGGAAAAGTTTTTCCTTCCAACAGGAAAAAATTTTCCTTCCAACAGGAAAAAATTTTCCTTCCGACAGGAAAAATTTTTCCAGTTGTCCGTCCGTAAACCATTCAAATTTTCGAAAATTGAGAACTTTTTGGCCGACCTTCAGGAAAAATTTTTCTTTCCGACAGGAAAAATTTTTCTTTCCGACAGGAAAAGTTTTTCTTTCCGACAGGAAAAAGTCCTTCCATCCGACAGGACACAAACGAATGTCCGACGTACCACCAACCGAGTCCATTCCAAAGCCAGAAGAACCGACAGCCCCAGCACCACAACAGACTAAGACTCAAACACTTACATTTTTACGCTTGACTTTTTACAATTTGAACTTTGTTTGCGTAGATATGAATTCTGAAAGAAGTATGAGGGTCTTGTATGACTTTGTACTTCTCCCATAGTTCATGTCTGTCAAACTTACCTGCCATGGACTCTTTCATAAGTTCCATGAAATCGTCTTCGGACAATCCGGGGAAAAGTATGATATCAGTAAGTATTCTCTTTACATCCTTACTTAAACTCTTGGCTGTCTGTACACAAATGACAACTGAAATGTTAAAGTGTCTGAGCTTCTTAAGAATTCGACACATGTCTTGTTCTCTGTTCTTTAACAAAGGATGAGAAGCAAAGTCATCTAAGATAAGAAGACATCTGTGAGGGTAAGTCTTCCAATCGTAAGATTGCAATTTCTTCGAAAGGTACTCAATCTCTTTCTGTTTGTTTCTGAAGTGTTTCTTCTCTAATATTCTCTGCATTTCCTCATTTGGGTCTTTAAACTTCGAGTTTATATACTCATTTATAGCATTGTACTTCAAAACTCTTCTTTGGTACTTCTTTATCCAATCCAACAACTCAGAGTCTTTTATACATACTAACTTAGACTTTTTTATAATATCTTTGAACGAATTGACGGTTTGGTCAAATTGACCAGAAGTACTACAAATGACTACTAACTCATAGAATGGGTTCTTCTCATCTAGTTCTTGTTGTTGTGCAGCCATTTTAAGATAAGTGAAAGTCTTACCCGACCCAGGTGGTGCAATTAGACCTGTTATACCATTCTGAGCAAATAGGAACTTGTCATGTATGGGTTTTATCTGAGCATTTTCCAACTTCCTCTTGTTCTTGTTTAAAACATTCTCAAATTTCTTGTCAATGTCAGCAAACTTTTTTTCTAACATATTTTTAGAAAAATTAAAATTTTTATCTTTTAGAAAATGTCTAGCGATTTCGCTATCTATATTCGAGACAAGCTTTTCGACAGCAAAACATCTGTCGACCATAAAATCTTACATAGTGTAAACAAGAAAGGGGAATTTGTTCTAAAGTTCTGTTTCTGGGAATATGACAAGAACCATAAAACATTAAGCAGAGAAGTCTTAAAATTTGTCAATGACAGACTTGTTGACAGAGATGACGCCTCTTGGAGAGATGAAGTCCAACAAAACTTCTTAGAATGCAAAGAAGACACATGCGCTGTTCTTGAAGATGAAATAGAAAACAGAATAGAAGAGCTATTAAATGACAAAGCACTTTTACAAAAATATGGTTCTGAGAAGTTTGACATAACTCCACCAGAAAAGAAGAAGAGAGAAAAGAAAGAAAAGAAAGTAGAAGAAGAGAAGAAAGAACCAGAGCCAGAGAAGGGGAGATATGACATGTAAAAATAAAATTTTATTTTTAGAACATTTCTGGGTCAATGTCAATGTTCTCTTCCTCTTTAGGAGCAAACACCGGCTTAGACTCTAAAATCTTTTTACCCAATTTACCTTGAACTTCAACTATCTTAGACTCATAATATTCATAGTCGTCTGCTTTCTTTGGTTCATAAGGTATAACAAGTTTGTATGCTTTGCCTTCTTTAAGGTTTGAAAACCTTCTGTCAAAACTTTCTTTGACTGTTAACAAACCTTCTATGTCTAAGTCTTCAAATTTCGCACCATTTTTAGTCACAATAGCAAACTTAACTGGTTCGATGTTCCAAACTTTGTCAAATGAAGACTTTTCAAAATGGTAGAAGTAAACATTCAAATATGTGAATGGGTCTAGTTCTTCTTTAAGTCCTGACATGTACTTGTTGACTGAGATGAATTTTGTCATCTTTTCTATCGGATAAAAAAAATATTTTTTTTAAAATTTACTCAGAAAAATTTTTCTTTGTATATACACCATTCTGTACGTCTAAAAGACTTTTGACATTTGCCAAGAATGTTCGTTTAGACGCTGTCATATAACCATATTCTTGACAATACTGTTTATACGAATCGTACAATGACCTTTCATCTAAACACTCAAAGTCAGTTTCATCTATGAACAGTTCATATACACTCTTGTTTGCTTCTAACAATGTTTGTCTCTCTTCGGTATGTGGAATTTGTCTTGGATTGAACTTTGAAATATCTAATGTCATGAAATATGAGAACAAGTGGTTGTAAAAGTCAGATGTTAAAGTTTCTGCTAAGTCGTCAAAATATTCTGTATCTTGCATATGAGAATCTGACGTTCTGACAACTACATATCTTCTGTCAGAACTTTCTAACTTCATCGGAACAGCATTGTTTGAAACCATGACGAAGTTTGCAACATTTTCACAAACTCTTTGGTCTTTATATTTTCTTTCAACAACTCCAACTTTGTCTGTTATAAGACTCTTCAAAGCATCTGAGTTTAAAACCTTTGTTGTATCTATACTTTGAAGTTCGTTACATACTATAAGTTTCATATTCTCTATTGAAGAGTTAAATTTACCGCAGATGTTTTCTAAGTTTGTCATATTAGGGTTCGAATAGCCCTCTAACAGTTTGCATAAGATATCTGTAAAGAAAGTGTTCTTACCAGTTCCTTGTTTTCCAATTTATGATGAGAGCAGTTTCATTTTTAGCACTTGGATGTTGTAAGATGTTTGCAAACCAACATAAGATATACTCATAGACTCTTTCGTTTCCATTGCATATAATTTTCTTTGACATGGTCTAACCAAGCTTCTATATACATTTTCTTTCCATTCTACTTGTTCGTATTTATATCCAGTGAAGATAGAATAGAAGTTTGGAGATGGTGTATAGAACTTTATACACGAACTGAAAAATCTTCTAACTTTGACAATAAGATATCCAAGCATCTAACATCTTCATGCCAACTTGTACGACTTTTATTTTTCTTAAGTTTCTGTCTACATTCTTGTTCTGAAACTATTGTCGCTTTAGGTTTGTTAAAGACTACATCCCATTCTTTCATAACATAACATTCTGGGGAAGAGTCGACATAAATGACTAAAACGTTTCAAATTCTCGACTGCTTTGTTATAGTCTCGAAATGGACACATATTTCTGAACGCTTGGAAGTCATAAAAATCTGAAACGTCTATTCTGTACATTTTTTATAAAAAATAAAAAAAAATATTTTTTTTATTCTTGACTTTGTTTTGTTGCATTTGTTCCATTTGTTGCATTTGTTGTTCTTGAGCTATTTGTTGTTGAAGTTGTTCTTGTAGTACAATACTTTCACAGTTGCATCTTCCAATTCGAAACTTTCTGCCGTCATTGAACAAATACATAGGACATAAAAGTTTTACAGGAACAAAGTTTGCGTCAACTAAGGTTAAGTTTATGTTTGCTAAAGTGTTTGAGTTTACTAAAGCTGAAAACTCTGCATTCGAATGAACAATAGGCAAACCAGCAGAGAAAGTGTTGTTATACGCATGAGTATCTTTTGGTCATAGTAGTTTCTGTCGACATTCGAATAGCACTTTGAACCTAAGTTTTGAAACAATATATAAAATAGGTGTACTTAAAGTCAATGGAACAGAAACCTTGTATGACACCTTTTCCTGTTATAGGAAACTGTTGGTAGTAAAAACCAGATATTAAGTTTTGTATTATAGCTCATATCGTTTATACTAAACTCAGTCGGACATCCAAACATAATGAAACCTGCTCTAGTTGCAGCACATGTTACATCCGTCCTTAAAGTATTAAATAAGTCAACAAAAACCTGTTGGTGGTATATCTGAGTAAGTATCTTCAAAGGAAGTATTTTTTACCATTCACAACAACAAAGTCTTCTGGTGTCAAAAGAGCAAAACAGGCTTTAGTCGTCATCGTGTTTAAGGTCAGTTTACAATATCGTCCTTGAGGACTTTGTAAGTTTGTTGTTATAGAATTATATGACTCAGGGTTTTTAGTCGTAATATATAAACCACTATGTCTTCTGCCATTTACATATATTTAAAAAGTTTTTCTGAAAGTGGAGAAGAACTTCATCTAAACTTTCACATGGCGTTTCTTTGAAGTTCTCTGTCTAAGAAGTTCAAATATTTTGTAAAGACATAGAACTTTCCTTTGTCTACACGAACAAACAAAACAGGGTCTTTCATATCGTTCAAAAGTGTGTAAAAGTCCTTTACATGAAATAAAGTCTATATTGTTTTTCTTCAAACATCTTTCAAGAAGTTTTGACATTTTTACTTAGCAAGTTAAATTTTAATGAAATGTTGTGGTCGTCAAATATTTTATGACGTCTGGGAAACTATATTTTAAGTTCAACGTTTCACCTCCTTTCATAACGTATATCTTGTCAATGACATTATATGGAAACACCACAGCAAGCAATGTCGGGTTCTATTTCTTTGATGTTTATATCGTCTGCCTCTGTCAAAAGTTTCAATAGTTCTTTCAAAACTTCATGAGGTGCAATGACATATGAGTTCACTTTTACAGGGTTTGTGTTCGACCAAGTTTAACATTATACCCAAAGCTTGACAAATTCTTCTCCTGAGTTTTAAGTTTATCTTTAAGTTGTTGGTAGTCGGTTTCGAATATCTGCAACAGAACTTAAGTCTCTGCTAACTTCAGGTATGTTGGTTGTTCTTTTACAGGAACTATGTTATACCATCTTCGTCTTCGTATGGTTTCCCCACTTCAACATCTCTGTCTTTGACATTGACAAACAACACTTTGACTGTTTTTTGAGTTGGTTGAATTTAACTTCACATCTGCCATCGCCATTAAACCTTTTGAAACACTTACGCTTCTATTTTTCGGAAATGACATTTTACTTAAGAATAAAAAAGATGGACGTATTTGAGTATCTCTTCGAATTGAAGCAAAACAAAGTTTACACACACAAACAATACAAATAACATTGACAGAGTAGTTCTTTACACAAACAATGGAAATGTTATAGAATAGCATATTTGCTGAACCAAAATATTTTCATAAAGCAAAGAAAGTTGGTATAACTGAAATGGTGAAAGTTTGACGTTGACAAAAATATAACTTCAAAACTGACCGATATTCTAAAGGTAAGTTTTTAATACAATATTATATATCAAAAACTGGCGTACTGTCAATATTTGACGGAGAGAAGTCAGTTCAAGAACAACTTACTGACCTGCTGCCAAAATTTGCTCGATGGAAGCTGTCGTTATACCAATCTGAGGATCCCCAGCAGGTTTCATCGAACGAATCTTCAAAAGAGCATCTTCCGTGAAAAGTGCTATTGGTTTTGTAAACTTCTTTGCTTTCAATTCATCTGGACCGTCTCTGTCACCAGTATATTGTATTTGAACTGTACCAACAGTTGAAATACCACCCATAAAGTCTTCTGAGTCAGCAAATGGAATGCCAAGCCAAAAGTTTGAACGGTCTCCATTTGTATATTGAGTGTTTTGACCTCCTGTATGAGTCCATACTTTCACATATGGCATAATAGAACTTTGCATTTCAGGGTTAATGGTTGTTGTGAAGTTGTTGTTAAAGTTCATAGCATCTAATGTCAAGTTGTATGACCTCATATCCTCAACTGTGGAATATTCTTCTCTTGGATAGTATTTGCCATCTATGTTTATATGATATTTAATACCAGGGTTGTAGAAACAAGAATAGTCATTTATAGTTCGTCTGAACAGTACAAACATAGTATCTGCATGTTTCATTGCAGTTGTTAAGGCAATATCTGTTCTTGCACCTGGGTCAGCACTTTGGTTTCCAACTTCACCTGCAAAGTCTTTGACAGATATTTGGTGTATAGGGAACATAAGTGGAACTGCAATATATTTGGCAGCTAAAGCATTTGAAATATCTGGGTCCAACATATAGACTGCAAGTCTGCTTTCTATTCTCTTGCATTCAAACTTTTCGCATGTGAACTTAACTGGGTCCCAAGCAGTTCCAGCAGCATTGAAGTAGTAGTTTACTTCAGTGTTGAGGTTTGAGAAACCAAAGTCTAAGTCAACTTTGTCTTTGCAAAAGTCACAGAACTTGGCTCCACCAGTTCCAGCTACAGTAAGAGTGAATGGGTCTTGCGTTGGTGCAATGACTAAGTTATTTTTGCTTGGAGTAAGTTCGATAGAAATTTTTCCTGCCCAGTTTGGCAAGTATCTTAAAAACCTGAAGATGAGGAAAGATGACAAAGGAACTCTAAGTTTCAATTTTACTTTGGTTACTGCTGCTGCAGTTTGTCCAGAAAGGTCAACATAAACTCCTGGAACGTTAGGGTCAAGTCTTCTTATTTTCTCAATAGTTGCATACTGGTCTGTTTGTTCTCTAGCTTGTGGTTGTACTGAGTTTCTCAAAGCGAACCATTCATAGTTTGCCCATGTCACTGTTTGAACTAGGTCAGAGTTAGAATATATCTTATATCCCATGAAAACTTCTGGAGCATATTGGTATCCGACATAGAAAATTCCATTGCAACCTTTCTTGTCAGACAACTTGGCAGAAGGTTTTATTTCAATGTCTTGTTCCACGTATAAGAAAGAGTTGTCAATAGAAATTATATGAAACCTGTCGCATGCAATATCTACTGTTGTTGAAGAACCTTCTCCAAACTCACCTACGTTTCCATAAGAAACAGCAGTTGTATATTCGTAAGTTCCAGGAACTATTTCTGACCTTCTAATGGCATTGTCGCATTCGTTATACCATTCGGAAACATTTCCATTCATAGCATCCAAAACTGTTGGCGTTATATTCTGAGCGGCGTACATTTCATATGGGTAAAAATATAGAATAGTTGGATTTATATGTCATAATAGAACCCACGTGGACCAAGCTTTACTTTCTTCCTGACTGAGTTTTTAACTCTTCTTTTTCCTTCATTGCCACTACTTTCACTAGATGAAGTTACTTCTTCACTACTTTCACTTTGTTCTACTCTTCTCTTCTTCTTTGGTGTCGCTTTTGGTAACTTGCCCTCTGCTTCAAGTTGTTGCATCTTTGCCTCATGTTCACCTAGTATGTTGCAAATTTCCCATGTCCTTTTTGCCTTTGGGCTCTGGTCGCCCATCTCAGGTAACCTATATCCTAGAAAGAGTTTGTCATAGTTTGTATTTGAGTCGTCGCTTATTGTTTGCATGACTCTTTCCTGAGTTTCCGGTTCAAGCTCTTCAAACAGTGCCTGTCCATATGGAATAAGCTCGTTTCCAAATATATGTTTTTGTAGCCATTCTGGTTTTCTTTCCATGTTACCAACTATATCTTTTGTGAATGGGAAAGCTTTTACCCAATCTTTCAGTCTTGCGTCGTTTATTTCTGTAGTTGGTTTTATTTTGTCAAGGAACATGTTTTTCAATACTAACATTTCATTTGGTACTGTCCATTTGAGTTTTCTTAAATATTCATCCCTTCTCAGTTCATTGTCTGCAAAGTAAGTTTTTATGACATTTTGTAAACTTTCATTTGCAAGGTCATGTACAATAGGTTCTCTTCCTTCGCTCTCCCTAACTTTCTTTCTAAACTCTTCACCAAATATACCATCTCTATGGTTCTGTGTAGTTCTTTGAGATAAATGTTCTAGAACGTCAGGTGTTATATTTCCATCAGCCATGTTCATTTCATACTGGTCCAAAATATCTGCATGTTTCATATCTTTCAATGGCATTAAAGCCGCGCTTAAAATACCAGCTATATCTGGTTCACCATTGACTTCCATTGCGTCTACAACTTCTTGGAATTGTGGTTGTAAGTTTATGAACCACCTATCCGGGTTAGCTTTATGACCCCATCTCATTGTAGTTCCATCGTCTGCAGAAACAAAAGTAGGTTTGTTTCCATCTTGGTTAGGTTCTGAATGAACTTTAAACAATGTTTCATTTCTATATGTTTTGTTGAAATTTAACCTTTTATTTTCGCCGAGTTCATCCGAAGATTGAACGTTAAATGCTCGTAAGTAAAAAGGGTTGTTGTATTTGTGTACATTTTCTTTCAGTACTTCCATTCTATGCTGAATATTTTCATCTGGTGTTGGAGTCTTTTGTATGTCGGCAAACATTTTTCGATATTCTTCTACTATGTCAGCCGAATTTTTTTTAGACTCTTGGAAATATTCCATATTCTCCGCATACTCTTGTTGAGGGTCAAGATTTTTCGGCTGTTCCAAATCTTCATCTAGTTCTGTGAAGTTAGTTTCCAAAGGAGTGACTTGTTCGTTTCCTTCAGGCTCTTCTAGCTGTTGTTGCTGAACTATTTCTTCCATGTCTGGTTGTATCTGAACTAGTTCTTCCTGTGGAGTTTCTTGTACCTCATCTGCTGGCATTTCATATATTCCGAGACCGTTTTTAACAACTTCCCTTTCTAAGTCATCCGGACTCATAAACCTTTCTTCTTTCGTTCCGTCTCTATTTTTTACGCGTTTCATGACGGGAGTTGAATTGTCATTTAGCTCTGACATCAAATATCTCGGAGTAAATTCAGTCATGTCATTTGGATGATATGCTATTAAATCATATCCCTTAGCGAGCTTGTATTTTCCAGGTTTGAAATTATATCCCATTTGGTGCTGAACCATAAAGCTAAATAGGTTCGGGTCAGTATTTCCTCCCTTGAACTTTCTAATAGCTTCTTTATATCTGTCACTAAAGTCAATACTATCTGGGTAACCATAGTCTTCCTTAAGCCTTTTTAAGAATTCTTGGTTTCCTTGTTCTCTACTTCTTTTATGTCCTTGCTCTGTTTGTGGTTGTTGTTGTGCAGGGTTTTGAACTGTTGGTTGCTGTGCTGGTTGTGGAGGTGGTTGTTGTGCTGGTTGTGGAGGTGGTTGTTGTGCAGGGTTTTGAACTGTTGGTTGTTGTGCTGGTTGTGGAGGTGGTTGTTGTGCTGGTTGTTGTGTTGGTTGTTGTGTTGGTTTTGGTGCATGCCTGTGTCTATGTCCATGTGACGATGTAAATGTTTTAGGTAGTCCTGGTGCAGGTGCTTCTCTTGGAGGGTTTGGTGGTATATAAATTCCAACAGCTGGCACATATGTTCCATCTGCAGCGTAATGTCCTACCTGACTTTTCGTTCTTAAGAAAGCATTTACTAGGTCTGTTTTGGTCTGTTGTAACTCTTTTTCTTGACTTTTCACAACAGTTGCTCTAACGGCGTCATAGGCACTTTGAACTGCCTGTCTCGTTGCTGCATCTGTTATTTTCGTCATATTTTGTGCTACTTCTTTTAACTCTTTGTCGAAACCTTCAGACTTCAGTTTCTTTCCAGATGAGAAGTCGTTCACTTGTTTCACCTTACTATGAAGAGCTTCGAAGGCGTTCTTAAAGTCAGCATTCGTTAAAGCTTCATTTGAACTGTCTTCATCCGCTTGTATTTTTGTCCTTATTGACCCTATAAGCTGGGCTGCTTTAGCGTTGGCTTGGGCATCTAACCAGTCATTGTTAGCTTTTATATATTCTGAGCTTTTCATTGCCTTTTGCATGGCTGCGTCGTTATTTTTACTTTCTTGTGCTAAGTTTTCATACTGTACGGTTTGGTTTTGCAACTGTAAAAGTTTTTCTGCCTTTACATTTGCTTCAACTTCCTTTTTATACTCATCGCTATCCATATATGTCTTCAGGGCTTTTTGTTTTATCTCTTCATCTTTCAGTACTTTATATCGAGTAGTATGGTTTTTCAAATTTACAACATCTTGTTCCATTTTTGCTACTTCTGCTGCTTTTTCTGACACTTTTTTCGCATATTCCTCTGTACTTAGTTCTTTCAGTTGTTCTTCTTTCTTCTTTTTCTCTACGTTTAACTCATTGAGTTTCTTTGTGTGTCTGTCATATTCTAGTTTCTTTTCGTTTTCACCTATTTGCTTCTGTATGTCTATGTTTGACTTTTTGACATCTGCTATTTGATTTTTGAGTGAACTCAAATTCATTTGACTTTGAGGGTTATATGCTGTTCCGTCTGCAGCTCCACCATAGCCTGCCATTTTCGCTAAAAGTGCCGCTCTTAAACCTCCACTCTGTGCACCAACAACTCGGTTTAAAAGCATAGGATTGCTTGACATTTGTTGCAACATAGTGGGGTCATTCAGCATTTGTTGTTGCAACTGTTGTTGTGGTGTCAGTCTTACTATTGGATGTTTCAATGCTCTCTTCCTCTTACGTATATTCTTATGTATCTTACGTGGCATTTTAAGTGAAGTTAAAAAGAGGCTTTTGACAGATGTTTATATGAGACTTTATCCGGTTTATAGGACCTCTCTCATATTCTATATTGTCAAGACTTCCTGGACTGTTGTCAAAATGTCATGTTGTCTCATTTTTTCAGAGAAGTTCGTTTAACCGAGGGACCGAGGGACCGAGGGACCTGGTGACGTAGCGACGATAGACCCTTACTTGTCCGGACAAAGTTAAACTATTTTGAGTGCTCTACAAACAAGTCAACAGCAACGACTTTCAAAAATTTTTAGGGCTAGAAGGCACGAAGTGCCTGGGAAGCCCCCAGACCCCAAAAAACCTCATTTTATATAAACTGCATGTTATACTAAACATCTTCAGGGGGCTAGAGGGGCGCAGCCCTGGAAGCCCCAATACCTTTTTTTTTTTTTTTATTACCATTAAAAACAATGAGATAGAATAAAAACTTTCTAAAGATGAAAGAAATAAAACTTGAACAAAAATGAACGTTTATAATTTTTTCATTCTGGATTATCCAGCTCCAACTAAAGATCTCCTCGAAAGACCTACGCCAAATAACCCAATATTAGGGATCTACAGATGAATTAGATCATTCTCCTTAATATTTGCTGATGAAAGACGCCAAATAAGGAAATTTATTTGGTTATTGCTCATTGAAATCAATTTAGACCAGTCACAGCCCAAAAGATCCAACAACAAGAACAATACTGATACATATGGCCCTAATGGATGCCAAAAAAATATATAATTCTTGCAATTTCTACAAAGAATTGTTAATTTTGTTGATAAAAACGAATAAAAATATTGTCTATATTCTATTTTAAATCTATAACAATGATTTTTTGAGTGTTATTAAAGTTTTTTAAAAATTAAATTATCTAAATATTCAAATTTTTAAGTTTTTGTTTTGAACGCATTACCCAAATATAGTCAATATAAGTATACTATTAGTATTAATATTGGCTCCTAAATATCAAGGTTTACATCTTTTTGCCCGGTTTACACCTTTTTCTCCTGACTATATCATAATTGTCAAATGTTTATCATTCCTTTTGATATTGGTTCAGATTATCTGTGATCATTGATATAGTGATAAATCAAACGAAAAGCTATCAAAATCTTAAATCTTTTTATTCAATTCATGCAAAATTCTTGCATAATATTGTTAATACATACTCCAACAATGAATCTAAATTAAAATTTTGATCAAGTAACCTTGTTTGTATCACTTTCAATTAAATCAATTAGATTAATTTAACTAATATGAATTTGGATTGTGCTTTCCTTATTGATGTAATGATATTTTCACTAATAAAAAATGAAATATACACAAGAAAAAAATTATTCAAAAATTATCATTGCATTTTATTTGAAGAAATTTTGAAAACACATCATACACATACTATAAATGAATATTATCATCTTAATTTTAATAAATTTCATTTACTTGGAAAGATGCAAGATCATCTTGTACTTACTCTTCGATTTATTCCATGTAACTTCGCAGGTAATAATGGCGCACTTACCTCTATTTTGGATTTTTATAGTTTCCCTCAAAACACATTCTATGGACTTACGCTCGTATCGCGTTAAAAAATGTCGTTAAAATTGCCCACACGCCAAATTATCTAAAAAAATATCACAAGATAGACATTTTTATACAAATATTTCATGGAAAAAAATATTATATTGTAATCTCGTTGATTTCTTCAATACCAGTGATTTCATTAGTATTTTCTGCACCTGAAATCACATTTTCGCTTGTTATTTCATTACTAGCAATCATTTTTGTTTCTTCATTATCTTCTTCTACATTTGTTTCCATAGACTCTTCAGATTCATCTTCAGGATCCTTCAAGAACTTGGATGCAATAACACCGAGAATAATTACAAAGACGATGCAGCCGACAGCAATTCCGATGATCATGTACAAAGACTTGTCCTTTGAGGTAGAACTGCTTGCACCACTTGCAGAGTCATGAGATCCTGATGATTCTGTACCAGCTGGTTTGTTGCCACTAACATCACTACTTTCTGGTTTCTGAGGTTGTTCAGTAGATTGTTGTTTAGTTGGTTGGATATCAGATGATGATGGCTTTGTTGGTGTGTCGCCAGATGGTTCAGATGGTTTTTGTGTTGGTGTGTCTGGGTTTGTATTTGGTTTTCCGCCGTATGGATACATGGCCTGGATTCCGCCTGTTGCATAGAGTGTCATTGGGATAGCATCTGTACTTGATTCAACCCAATCAGTGACACCTGCTTCGCCTTGGATCTTTGTGTTATCAACAACACATCCGCTCATGTCAGCAACTGGAGATTTAGAGCTGCCAAGAATTTCGTGTCCATTGTAGTTGTTATTCTGGAAGACGCAATCCTTGACTTGTGGTGCAACAGTGCATGAATCTGTGTAGACCATGCCGTAGCCAGTAAGTGTGTTCTCAAGGAAGTTGACCTTCTGAACAAGAGCATCTGTTTGACCACCCTGGAAGTAGAGTGTGCCGCAGTTGGATGATGTCTTGCTGATGGTGGAGTATGTGAGTTCGACTGGTTGTGTGTAACTGTTGAAGTTGATGTGGCCATATGAGTAAATTGTGCCAAGACCTGTAGCTGAGTTATCTGATGAGTTGATGCGGCTGACAGTTGACTGGTCACCGAAAAGATGTCTCATCGATGATGTGCCAGTTGTTGCGAAGTAAAGGTTGTGCTTTGGAGATGTGCAGGACATGAATGAGCTGAGGTCAACTTTGAATTGGCCAGTGATAGAAACGTAGCCAGCAGCAGCTTGGGCTGGGAGACCTGCTGCCTCGCACTTCTCGATACCGGTTGTCTTGAGTGTGAACATGCTGTTTCCTTGGATGTTGAATGAACCTCCTTGAGCTGCCTCGCAGTTATAGAAGTAGTTGTTGGAGATGGATGTTGACATCCAGGACTCGCCGCCATGAACAACAACAGGCGATGATGTACCAAATCCACCGAGGTTGATGAACTGGCAGTCATCAATGATGATGTCGCTGATGGCATTGATTGACAAGGACTGGGTCTGGCTGACTGTGTATCGAACTGGTTCAGGCAGTGGTGTTGGAGCTGGGGTTGGAAGAGGACTACTTGTTGGAACTGGAGATGGAGCTGGGGTTCTGCCATATGCGTGAATGGCATCAATTCCGCCAGTGGCATATAAGGTCATTGGAATAGCATCGGTCGTCTCGACAACCCAATCAGTAATTCCGGCTGAGCCGGCGATCTTTGTGCCATCAACAACACAGTCTTTGATGTTGGCGTTGACTGACTTGTAGTTGCCAAGAATCTCGTGACCGTTGTATTTGTTGTTCTGGAAAACACATTCTTTGATTTCTGGAGTAATGGTGCATGTGTCGGTGTAAATCATGGCATAGCCTTTCAGTTCGTTCTCAAGGAAGTTGACTTTGTAAACAAGAGCTTCGGATGTACCAGATTGGAAGTAGAAACAGCCGCAGTTAGATGATGTCTTACTAATGGTGGAGTATGTGAACTGGATTGGTGACTTGTAGCTGTTGAAGTTGATGTGGCCATATGAGTAAATTGTACCGACGCCCGTGGCAGAGCTGCCGGTGGAGTTGACATGACTGACACTAGACCAACCACCAAGATATAAGTTCTCGCGTGGAGAGGTGCATGACATGAAGGAGCTCATGTCAATGTCGTATGGAGAGGATTCGCTCATGGAAATGAAGCCAATGCCGCCTTGAGCTGGAAGACCGGCACCAATACACTCTTGAACACCGGTAGTGTTGATGACAAGATGACTGTTGCCTTGGATGTTGAAGGCACCGCCTTGACTCGATTCGCAGTTGTAGAAGAATGTCTTCGTGATGATGGTGACCATCCATGAGGCACCACCACTGATGCTAAGGTATGATGATTGAGCAAACCCGCCAAGACTCATGAACTGGCAGTCATCGATGATGATGCCACGTGATGCTTCAATGGAAAGTTTGCTTTCCTGCTTTCCTGTGTATCTAACTGGTTCTGGAGTTGCTGTGGGAGCTGGAGTATGCTCTGGTGTTGTGTATGGTGTCTCGGCAGCTGTTGGCATATTAGTGTAATATGGAGTTTCAAATGCCGTTTCGAATGCTGTATTCATTGGAGTATCAAAAGCAGTTTCGAATTGTGTCTCCTTTTCAGTTATCATTGGTGTATCAAATGCTGTCTCGAAAGCAGTATTCATTGGTGTTTCAAAAACAGTTTCAAATGGAGTTTCCTTTTCAGTAATTATTGGTGTCTCGAATGCTGTTTCGAATGGAGATTGTTCGAATGTTCTGTATGGAGATGGTGTTGGTGTTGGAACTGGTGTTTCTGGTGTTTGATTAGGTGTTATCTGTGGTGTACTCTCCATTGTGTTAAATGGTGTTTCGTTCTCTGTGAAATATGGAGTTGCATCAGCTGTAATAGCTGGTGTTTCTTCCTGAGTATTAAATGGAGTTACAGCAGCAGTATCTGCTGGTGTTTCTCCCATTCACGAAGCAGCTGTTACTACTGGTGTTTCCATAGATGTCGTGAATGGAGTTTCAAACGGTGTCTCAACAGGTGTTGAGTCTGGTGATTTGTAAGAAATTTGAGCTGCAATGTTGCCTGTTGCGTATAAAGTCATTGGAATTGGTTCTGTTGACTTCTGTTCCCAGTTGGTAATGGCTAACTTACCCTTTGTCTTTGTACTATCTACGACAGTGTCTATGACGCTGAGTATATTATCTTTATCTGTTATGAAGATTTCGCTTTTTCCGTGATGGTTTTCTTGGAAGATGCATTCTTCGATTGAAACGGATTTGCATTCTTGGGCATATACCATACCATAACCATTGTTATTATTCTCGATGAAATTGATCTTCAAGAGTGTAGCAAGTTCATAACACTGATAATAATATATAATAGAGCATGAAGATGTGCATTTATAGACTGTTGAGTATGAGAATTTAATTGGGTAATTATTGTGTTGGAAATATATGCAGCCATAAGCATATACTTGGTATGTAGCTGAGGCAGTGTTTCCTGTAGCATTAATGTTAGCTAGATTTGATACACCGCCGCAAAATAAATTTGAAGAGCTATCATAGCAGTTAACGAATGAATTTAAATCAAAGTAATAAGGAGCTTCTTGATTTGTATCGATATAACCAATAGCACCTTGTTTAGGTGCATATTTACAATGGCAACTTTCAATAGCAGTCATTGACATTTTTACATTGGTATTTCCTTGAATATTAAAGGCGCCACCTTGTGTGGATCGGCAACCTGTAAAGTAACATTTGGTGATAATGGATGTTTGAGTAGTTGATCCTCCAGTAATCTTAAGTGGTGATCCAACAATTCCATTGAAAGTGCAATGGGTGATAATGAGATCAGTTGAATCTTTGATTACTAAAGAAGAACTTTGAGGGCCTGTATATGTCTGTGCTGAAAGTAAAGAAAGGAAAAAGAATATCATTTAGAGCAATGTTGGTCCCCTCAATAATTGAATATTGCAAAGTATGACTTAATTTTGCGTCATAGTTGAAAAACGATATATTTGAAATTAATTCTGCTGGGTTACATGTGTTAATTCTAAAATATGATTATAATGGATTAAGTTTGGAAATTCAATGGGTGCTTTCAAATTGATTTTTGAATGGCAGGTATCCACATAATTCATGCATAATTATTGCAAATTAAAAATATTAATTCCGAAAATAAAAGTTGTTAAAGTTATCTGCCTAACGTCACAAAAATTTTATTGAAAGAATCTGCATATTATCATACAATAAACCTATAATTTAAGGGTTTCGTTTTGCTAAAATTGTCACTTTTATAGCATATTTGTTTTTGGATGTTTTGCGAAACCAAAAAAAAAACTATGCTATACAATGTGTGTGTAAAGAAAATACTTTATTTACTAGTTAAAAAATCATTTGGTATTGATCAAGTTATTTTTTCTGGATAAGATATTATATGGATAATTGGATAGAAAATACAATTATATAATCTTGTACCTGGTTTAATTAAGCTAATTGTCATCAGAAACTTGTAATTTTTATGAATTTCAGATTTTCTTTTCATTACTGCTTTTCTTAATAGGTCAAGTTCTTATTTACGTTATAAAGTATGATATTTACAAATATCAAGTTATCATGTTTTTTGAGAAATTATGAGAAACAAACAAAAATGAAAAAGATAGGAATAGCAATGAATAGTGATGTGGGTATAGAAAATGTAAGAGATATGAATGCAAAGCAATCAGTATTTAGGATATTGACCATAGATTTCGAAAAAAAAATGCTGCATATTGAGCGAAAACTATGATTATATTATAAGGCTGTCATTTAAAGCATAATGAAACTATTCCCTTTTCATTTTAATCGAATAAGATAGTAAAGATTTTTGAATTAGCTAGAAACCGATGAGATGTTTTCACAAATCAGATTTTTAATCTCTATAATGCATAATTCACTCAATATCTCAATTTTGATATTGCGAGATATTTTTGCTATCGGTTTCGCACTTTTGACACAATAGCAAGAGGGTTCTATAAGCATTATTATCAACGTAGAATCTGAATATCATATCAGAAAATGTCGCAAATCTGACATTTACCCGACCAAATAGCAAAAATAATTGAATACTTTTCGCAAAAACTTTAAAAATCGATAAAAATATGAAATATAGATATTAAAGAGACTTTTTATATAATATTCATAAAGATTTTCCAAAAATATGATACCGCAAAATTAAAAAAGTGACGTCTTGAGTGGAGTCAAATGTCGAAATTGCTAGCTAAATGTTTTTTTAGCGAAATTGCGTATTGTACGTTTTTTTCGCAAAACGAAACCCTTATATAATTATTTAGAATATAAAAAATTCTGAAGGAGAATACATTTGGTTGGTCTCAAAAAGTGATCAAACAATAAAGTTATAAGATAAAATGATATTATTGTAGATGACCTAAAAACACACTGAAATATAATATCCGAATTTTATTTTGGTCACACAAAATTAGATTTGTGCGAATTTCATAATTTTGAAGGATTTGTCACCATAGTTAAGATAACGTGGTGTTAATGAATCCTCTAATTTGTATTTTTCCATCTTTCTTATAATGTCAAGGTCTATATTATTAGAAATAAAAGGGCGTGTTCTTGATCTTATATCTTTTGGCCAACTTTTATTATAAACTGCATGCATTATATCATGAAACGCAGCTTGGAATCTTTCTAATGGAACTCCATCTCTTATTGAATATTTTTTGTTAGAACTTAGAGCGTAAACCCATAGTCCAAGATGGATTCCAGTTGATATAGCAGGTGTGTCGCATTGTCCTTTACTTAGTAGCAATACACCGCAGCCTTCATGAAGAAAGAGATCGTTAAATGCCAAAGAGCCAGAAGCTGTCACTAGCACTTTAATAGACGCATATAACTTAGCTGTTTTATTTACGTTTAATACGTAATCATCTCGAATACGACGAAATTCATACTGAGGAAATTGATTTTTTGCATAAGAATACATTTCATCAAAATTGTCTACAGCGCCCCAGTTGTTATATTCTTTATTAATAAAGACATGTTTATTAGGGACTATTTTCTCGAGATTATTCAATTTATAAATTCTCTGATGCAATTCTTTCCAAGAAAGATGAAGACAATTAATTCCGAACTCTCCGACAGCAATATATAAGTCATGTGCATATATGAGATCATTTCCTAGCTGATGTACTCGATTTGTCTCAAAATTTAATAAAGATAAATATGATTTTGCTATTTCCTCGTCAAAATTAACAAAAATTTCGGCATCATTGATTATATTTGATGGAATTGAGATAATCCCACATAGCATGTCTTGTAAAAAATGCCCAAATTGAGGATGGTATGAAAAACCTAATACAACTTTATTGTATGATATAAGGGAATGATTTGTCATATTGGGGTGATTATAAATATAATGTTTTTTTGATGGTTCTACAAATTTATCGAAAGATATAACTCCAAATTTGCAAAAGTCAGCTTTAATGTAATGTTGGAAGATTGTATGCTGATAATATAGTGATTCAAGTGAAAATGTATTGCCTTCTTCTAAACTTCCTGTATTATTTGTGACGATAATTTTATCGAAAGTTGCTTTAGGTCGAATCAATGTAATATTATCGAAAACTTCAACACTTTGTAAATTTGTAAGGTTGTGTGGAATCAGATTTGGTACTGTCCATACAGATAAATAGATATTGTATGAAAAGTTACCTCTAATATTGAAAATTAAGAGAACAGATATCAAAATAACTATCAAAGATCGTTTATATTTGTAGTTATCTAATCTCTTATTAAAGGCCATCAAGAATTCATAATCCCAATGTTTTGTATTGTCAAAAAGTTTACATGTCAAAAAAATCAAAAAGCATGATATTCTCTATATCAATAGTTCTATATATTGTCATTACTCTATTCAAAAAATCTACTATTTTAATATTATAAATTATAAAATTGTTTTATTTCGATCAAAATTGCATCTCAACAAGGCAACAAGATGTTTAGGAGTTGATCATAGATAGAAACATCTTGTTATGCAGCCTATCCATCGAATTTATTGATAAAATTCTATCATCTCTTCAATATTTTTTATTGGGAAATATTTGTCACTTTTTAATTATGTTTGAAGACGAAGCGCTTGATCAAGAGTTAGAAAACATTCTAAACCATCCAGCGCCAGCCTACAATGAAAAGTCATACTGGAACTCTCGTTATGAGAAAGAAACAGAATCATTCGAATGGTATAATAGTTGGGTTAAACTGAAAGAACATGTTGCCCAGCATATTAATGGATCTGGAACCGCTCTCAATCTTGGATGCGGAAATTCCAACATGACAAGCGAACTTCTCTTAAATGGTTTCGATAAAGTTGTTGGAATAGACTTTTCAGAAGTTGTAATTGGACAGATGAGAAAGAAATATCAATTAGAACAGAAACTTGAGTGGGAAACAGGCGATATTACAAAAATGAAGTTCCCAAACAATCATTTTGATTTTGTTTTCGATAAAGCTACACTCGATACACTAGTTTGTGGAGACAATTCGAACAAAGTTATCGTTTCACTCTTGAAAGAAATCGCTCGCGTAATGAAACCAGGTGGAACATTTATTTTGATTTCTTACGGCTCTCCAACAACAAGGAAGCGCTTCTTTGAAGGAACACAAACAGGGTTAACCCTTGTTGAATCTGTTAAAGTTGAAAAGCAAGAAGTTTCTGGTGCTTTTCATTATATTTATGTCATCAAGAAAGATATGTAATATTCTTTCCCTACTATTCCTAAACTTATCAATGTATCTCAAAATTTACCGGTGATTACTATGTATCACTTAATAAATTTTTTTTATTCAGATTTTGAATATAACTAGCCAATAGTGAACTTGTATTTTCTTTCTGAGATATGTTGTGTATATTTAATGATGATTTTTCGAATTTCTCAAAAAAAATATTCAGTAAAATTTCAAATGATTACAATGTTCTATTGTTGTTATATATTTTTTTGTGATCGATTGTATCTCAAGTCGAATGATACATTATTAAGCAAATTGAAAGATAAAATTTTTCAAATTGATAGATTAATCTAGTTAAGGAAGATACCATGATCAAATAGTCGAAACATAAACATTGGTCTAATGAATATGAATATAAAACATATTTATTGATCAAGATATTGAAGATATTTATACAGAAAAAGAATCTTGATGCCATTTTAAAGAATTTCCAAGTTGTTTATATGTAGGCAAAACAAATTACACGTAAAGAATAAATGATGAAAGAAAAAAAAATTATGAAACCGCTCAGAAACAAAAAATATAAATCTGCAGTGATGAGCCAATCTTTTGCCTTTCGTGGCCTATTTATTTTTGATTCAAGTGGGAAAATAGCTATTGCTCAGAGATTTAAAACAGTAGAGATGCGTGTTCCGACTTCTTCTGCGGCATTGCCATCAAATGATCAACTCTCAAAAATTTTTCAAGAAAAAGTGCTTTCAACAATAAACAGTGAATCAAATTACGAATTTATTATCGACAATTTAATATCTCTCGTTGTTTTACCAACGAAAAACTTTTTCATTACTTTAATTCCTCTTATTTTAAGCAAGGAAGATAGTAATATGCCGCACGTTGAAATTGCAGCATCATTCCATTTTCTTTCATTCCTAGAACCTGTTTTAAGAACATCTCTTAAAACATTAGCAACAAATCCAAATCCTGCAGCAGTTTTTCAATTAATTAATCTCATAATGCCATTTGGATCTCCTATAATTCATGATCCATATTTCGTTTCTCAGTTGCCAATTACCGCAGATAGCCATCTTTTCAATGCTGGCTATGCAACAGTTTCACCGGCTCCTGTACCATCCTGGAAGACTTATCTTGTATTTCCAAGACAGCATCTTGAAATCAAGATGAGAGAAACGATTGTTGGTTCAATTGATGGCGATAAACAATATTATGGTGTTTTTGGTGAGCTCAGATGCATTGCATCCATTAACTATCTTCCAGAAATTTCAATTGCAATTAAAAATTTCGAGAAATTACAAGAAATTGCCTGTCATTATTCAGTCAAATCGATAGAATCCGGAAAATTACTCTTATCTCCACCGACCGGTATTACACAGCTTTTACTTTGGCAGTTCAAATCTCAAGATCCTCCTCCAATCACTGGATCTTATACTGCAAGCGCTGCCCCTGATAATGGCGTCAGTTTTTCAATTACAGTTACAGCTATACCATCTGTTAAGAGTGTTTCCGTTCAGATTCCTTTCCCAGATCGTGGTGCTTTGACAAAACACCAATTCCAGACTCCTCCTAATAGCCAGATTAAGATGTCCAAGCGCGAAGCTACTATTGCATGGACTGTTGAAGTCGATGGCTCGTCGACGCTTTCTGGCGTTCTTAATTTCGAGAGAGAATCTAAATCTCAAGAAAGACTGAAGGCATTCATAGAGTTCAAGAGCAAGAACTCAACTTATAGCGGTGCAAGTATCGACGATTCATCTGTCGTTATCCCGACTGCTGGAACAACTGTTGTCATCGAAAACAGCTATTCTACAGAGTCTAAGAAATATATTATTTGGGGTCCTGCTGTTACTTCAAATTAAAAACTGTACTCAATTTTATTAATAAATTATTTTTTTATTCTTTCGATGTATATCATAAAGTAAGTTTTGTGATTTTTTGATAAAGGATGATTCAATGGCAGGAGAAAGGATCATATAAACCTACACAACAATCAAATTCAATTAATATTTTTGAGATATAATTAAATAGTGATTTGTTGATAGTTTTGTCGATAAAAAAGATACATTAGTTATAATAAGACAGAAATACATATCCCAAATTTTCCAAAAATTTACAAAAAATCAAAATTTCAGAAATTTTTCTAGAAAATTGAAAATATTTTTTGAAAAATAAAAATTTCTTGGAAATCCGGTGATGAACATTTCTAACTTAATTCAAATGTTCATAGATAGGAAAGCATAAATCCATTAAAAACAATTAAATTGATAAAATACGAATAAAAGTGACATTGTTCAAATGTCTGAAGCAGTTCGTAAATTGATCAAATATTACAAGCAATTAAAGAAAGATATTGACAATGGAAGCATTGATGGCCTCATCGCTCAACCAATGAAGGATAACGTTCTTCACTGGACAGCCGTAATTTTTGGTCCACAAGGAACCGACTGGGCAGACGGCATTTTTGAACTTGAAATGGTATTTAAGGATGATTTCCCTAGATCCGCTCCCGAAGTTAAGTTTATTACCCCAGTTTATCATCCAAACGTATACAGAGACGGAAAAATTTGCTTAGATATGCTTCAAAATAAATGGACTCCTGCATACGATATATCCGCTATTCTTAATTCAATTAGATCTTTATTTGATGATCCAAATCCAGCTTCCCCTGCAAATGGTGAAGCAGCAGAAGCTTTTCAGAATAACAGACCTAAATATAATGAAAAAGTTCAGCAGTGTGTCCGTGAATCTATTAGACTTTGGAAGGAAAAACATCCAAATAACTAAAAAACTCAGTAATTAGAGATTGGCAGTATTATCATTATAAATAAATCGTTAAAACATCCAAATTGCATTAAAATTACCTTGATATTTATTATTCGATTTAATACCTAATTTTTTGCCATAATAACTTTATACTCATATTTTCCTTACCTTGGGAAATCATATTTACAACTCAATATTGAGTTTTTTTCTACTTCCTATTTAACGATTTTAGATTTTCATAGATTCAGTTAGTTTATCTGTATTTTCACAATAGATATTCTCATGTCCAGCATAATTCCTTTAAACACAATCATATATCTTGGTTTTAGTGAATAATTCGTTGTTTTTGTCTTAAATCAAAATGTTTTGAGAATATTTGTAATTAAAAATTAGTGTATTAAGTTTTCATGAGTTTATTCAAGCAGTATTAGTTGGAAAGCCAAATAACGTAAAATATTTTTTTGCAATTATTGGTAAATATATCTTAGAGAGATTTAATCCTCTAAGAGTTGTTTCATGTTACTCATTTCTTGCATCAATCTTTCTTCAGTAACGTCATCTAAGCAATTGCACTCTAATTCCAACAAAAAGTTGGGAAATTCTTGGTGTATGTCTAATCTGTGAATGACAGCACGTGCGCGTTGTTGTGGTTTTACTCTCGATCCAATGAATGTCATATGAATATAGTCTGGATTGAATTGAGCGTTGTCTTTAGTTTCATCGATGATTTTAAGATATCCAAAAGCAACAATGTCTTCTGTCAGATTTCGCTTTAATTGCATAATTCCGCCATCACCTTTTGCGAGAAGTCCAATAACGTTATGAGTACCGTTAATATAGCCCAAAAGGATCCAGTCCATGGAACGCTGGCCACCTGTGAGCTCGTAGTATGCATTACCAATGCTGTCGAAATCTAAAACAGCAGTCATTTTTTATCAAATACTACCCCCAAATAAAAATTCGAGACCCCATGAAAAGTTATTTTTTATTTTTCATTTTTAGAGTAAATGAGCACACTCGAAGTAAGGCAATCAGACCCAACCAATAAGTCATTGCTTGTAACTCCAGATGTTCTCAAATATGAAGCATTTATTCAAAAAATTCACAAAATTAAATCGGAACAAGATAATCACATACATCCACAAGAACTTGTTAAAGAATTAAACCAGTTTGATATCCAAATTCAACAGGTGAAAGATTTAAGAAAATACAACTCAGATTTCATTCAAAAATCATGCAAATTTGGATTACAAAGAGCTAATGATGAATATGAACACGCATTAGAAGTTATTGCCTCAAAGTCCAATTCAATGTCAACAAGTTCTGAGCCAGAACAAACTGAAATTACGGAAATAGTTTAATAACCATACAATGCTATCTTACTCTCACACATTGATCATATATATCTATATCCCGTATACCTATGCTGAATATAGCTAATGGCTTGGCTTATCTGTTTTTAATTATTATGAATTTGTATCCAATAAATAGAATTTTCTTAATGCATGTAAAAATATTATTTAAATATACACGTTTTATTTATCTTCAAAACTTTTTTTTCTTTACAAGGCTAATCATCATTCAATAACTTAAAGGTGTTTAAATTAATAACTCTTTTAATTATAACATTTTTGTAAGAGTTTTATTTGCATTAGTTTTGAATCTTGAATCGTATAATGGCATGGATATGATAATTTCAAAGGAGAACACAACGAGCTTTTGAATAATCACACATGCATTGTTACTTATAATAAATTTACTATTTACTACTTACAACAGATGGATATAGATATAAAAATAACGTTTCAATCAAATCTTCTTCAATAGGTGTAGGAGGACGGGGAGGAGGAAGAGGTTCAACAAAAAAGTACCTACATTCTCTATCAGAATAAGATGATACCATTTTTGATTTAGGGAGTTTTTGAGGTACTCTGTATAAGAAAACACGCTTACTATATTCTTCGAGCACGAAAACATTATAAATATATGAAGATAGTACTTCTGATACATTCATATTAGTACCCATGTAATAAACAGAAATTCTTCCAGCATTTAAAACATTTAACGCTGATTCTTCAAATATAACGTTATCATATAATCCAATTGTTGATATATTTTGACTTGAATTAAAGGCAAATCCTTTTATAGTACAGTTATCTTTAAAAATTATCGAATGAATTTTGGAACAGCTTGAGAATGCAGATATATTAACAATACAGTTAGATCCAATAGTAACTGAACATAGAGATGTGCAGCTTTCAAATGAATTGCTTTCAAGAAAGTTTGAGTTATCTGGGATGATTATCTTAGTGAGTTGTAAACAGTGCTGAAATGCAAATGATTTGATAACTTGAACATTTGAGAGATTGATCTCATATATTGATGTACAATTCGCAAAAGATCCAATACTGAGTTCGAAAACATTTGTCGGGATAACACGAATATCAAGATTACGACAGTTTGCGAATGCATAATTACCAATATAATTGATTGATGATGGCAAATTGAGAGTTTTAATTCCACTACTGTTGAATGCATACTCGTCAATCTTTGTACATTTTTCACCGACATTGAGCGTTTCCAAATATGTTGTAAATGAAAAAGTATGAAGTCGTATTGTTGATAACGAAGCAGGTAATGTAATTGACGTCAAACCCATACATCCAGAAAATGTTCCGCCAGGGAGTTTATTTTTGAGAGATTCTGGTATTACTACATTTTTCACTGTACTGTATGCAAAAACACTAGGCTCCATTAAATCAAGTTGAGGAAGATCAGGAATAGTAACACTTTCACAAATAGCCTTTGCAAATGCTTCTCTTCCAATCTTTTTAATTTTGCTAGGTATTTTAATATTTCTGAAATGAGAAAAAGCAAAGCAGAATTGTCCAATTTCAACAATGTTATCAGGCAAAGTAGTTTCGATCGAAGAAAGAAAAAAGGCATAGTTTCAAAAAAAAAAAAAAAAAAAAAAAAGTAGTGGGGCTTCCAGGCGCGTTGCGCCCTCTAGCCCCGAAGATGTTTAGTATAAAACCGCTTTTTAACTTCACTTAAAATGCCACGTAAGCTACGTAAGAATATACGTAAGAGGAAGAGAGCATTGAAACATCCAATAGTAAAACTAACACCACAACAACAGTTGCAACAACAAATGCTGAATGACCCCACTATGTTGCAACAAATGTCAAGCAATCCTATGCTTTTAAACCGAGTTGTTGGTGCACAGAGTGGAGGTTTAAGAGCGGCACTTTTAGCGAAAATGGCAGGCTATGGTGGAGCTGCAGACGGAACAGCCTATAACCCTCAAAGTCAAATGAATTTGAGTTCACTCAAAAATCAAATAGCAGATGTCAAAAAGTCAAACATAGACATACAGAAGCAAATAGGTGAAAACGAAAAGAAACTAGAATATGACAGACACACAAAGAAACTCAATGAGTTAAACGTAGAGAAAAAGAAGAAAGAAGAACAACTGAAAGAACTAAGTACAGAGGAATATGCGAAAAAAGTGTCAGAAAAAGCAGCAGAAGTAGCAAAAATGGAACAAGATGTTGTAAATTTGAAAAACCATACTACTCGATATAAAGTACTGAAAGATGAAGAGATAAAACAAAAAGCCCTGAAGACATATATGGATAGCGATGAGTATAAAAAAGAAGTTGAAGCAAATGTAAAGGCAGAAAAACTTTTACAGTTGCAAAACCAAACCGTACAGTATGAAAACTTAGCACAAGAAAGTAAAAATAACGACGCAGCCATGCAAAAGGCAATGAAAAGCTCAGAATATATAAAAGCTAACAATGACTGGTTAGATGCCCAAGCCAACGCTAAAGCAGCCCAGCTTATAGGGTCAATAAGGACAAAAATACAAGCGGATGAAGACAGTTCAAATGAAGCTTTAACGAATGCTGACTTTAAGAACGCCTTCGAAGCTCTTCATAGTAAGGTGAAACAAGTGAACGACTTCTCATCTGGAAAGAAACTGAAGTCTGAAGGTTTCGACAAAGAGTTAAGAGAAGTAGCACAAAATATGACGAAAATAACAGATGCAGCAACGAGACAGGCAGTTCAAAGTGCCTATGACGCCGTTAGAGCAACTGTTGTGAAAAGTCAAGAAAAAGAGTTACAACAGACCAAAACAGACCTAGTAAATGCTTTCTTAAAAACGAAAAGTCAGGTAGGACATTACGCTGCAGATGGAACATATGTGCCAGCTGGTGGAACTTATATACCAGCTGGTGGAACTTATATACCAGCTGGTGGAACTTATATACTAGCTAGTGGAACTTATATACCACCAAACCCTCCAAGAGAAGCACCTGCACCAGGACTACCTAAAACATTTACATCGTCACATGGACACAGACGCAGGCATGCACCAAAACCAGCACAACAACAACAACAACCAACACAACAACCAACAGTTCAAAATCCAGCACAACAACCAACAGTTCAAAACCCTGCACAACAACCACCTCCACAACCAGCACAGCAACCAACAGTTCAAAACCCTGCACAACAACCACCTCCACAACCAGCACAACAACCACAAACAGAGCAAGGACATAAAAGAAGTAGAGAACAAGGAAACCAAGAATTCTTAAAAATGCTTAAAGAAGACTATGGTTACTCAGATACTATTGACTTTAGTGACAGATATAAAGAAGCTATTCGAAAGTTCAAGGATGGAAATACTGACCCGAACCTATTTAGCTTTATGGCTCAGCACCAAATCGGATATAATTTCAAACCTGGAAAATACAAGCTCGCTAAGGGATATGATTTAATAGCATATCATCCAAATGACATGAACGAATTTACTCCGAGATATTTGGTGTCAGAGCTAAATAATGATTCAACTATCTGCATGAAACGCGTAAAAAATAGAGACGGAACGAAAGAACAAAGGCTTATGAATGCGGATGACTTAAATAGGGAACTTGTTGAAAACGGTCTCGGAATATATGAAATGCCAGCAGATGAGGTACAAGAAACTCCACAGGAAGAAGTTCAGATACAACCAGACATGGAAGAAATAGTTCAGCAACAACAGCTAGAAGAGCCTGAAGGAAACGAACAAGTCCCTCCTTTGGAAACTAACTTCACAGAACTAGATGAAGATTTGGAACAGCCGAAAAATCTTGACCCTCAACAAGAGTATGAGGTGAATATGGAATCTTTCCAAGAGTCTAAAAAAAATTCGGCTGACATAGTAGAAGAATATCGAAAAATGTTTGCCGACATACAAAAGACTCCAACACCAGATGAAAATATTCAGCATAGAATGGAAGCACTGAAAGAAAATGTACACAAATACAACAACCCTTTTTACTTACGAGCATTTAACGTTCAATCTTTGGCTGAACTCGGTGAAAATAAAAGGTTAAATTTCAACAAAACATATAGAAATGAAACATTGTTTAAAGTTCATTCAGAACCTAACCAAGATGGAAACAAACCTACTTTTGTTTCTGCAGACTATGGAACTACAATGAGATGGGGTCATAAAGCTAACCCGGATAGGTGGTTCATAAACTTACAACCACAATTCCAAGAAGTTGTAGACGCAATGGAAGTCAATGGTGAACCAGATATAGCTGGTATTTTCAGCGCGGCTTTAATGCCATTGAAAGATATGAAACATGCAGATATTTTGGACCAGTATGAAATGAACATGGCTGATGGAAATATAACACCTGACGTTCTAAAACATTTATCTCAAAGAACTACACAGAACCATAGAGATGGTATATTTGGTGAAGAGTTTAGAAAGAAAGTTAGGGAGGGAGAAGGAAGAGAACCTATTGTACATGACCTTGCAAACGAAAGTTTACAAAATGTCATAAAAACTTACTTTGCAGACGATGAACTGAGAAGGGATGAATATTTAAGAAAACTCAAATGGACAGTACCAAATGAAATGTTAGTATTGAAAAACATGTTCCTTGACAAAATAAAACCAACTACAGAAATAAATGACGCAAGACTGAAAGATTGGGTAAAAGCTTTCCCATTCACAAAAGATATAGTTGGTAACATGGAAAGAAAACCAGAATGGCTACAAAAACATATATTTGGAAACGAGCTTATTCCATATGGACAAGCTCTGTTTGAAGAGCTTGAACCGGAAACTCAGGAAAGAGTCATGCAAACAATACGCGAAGACTCAAATACAAACTATGACAAAATCTTTCTAGGATATAGGTTACCTGAGATGGGCGACCAGAGCCCAAAGGCAAAAAGGACATGGGAAATTTACAACATACTAGGTGAACATGAGGCAAAGATGCAACAACTTGAAGCAGAGGGCAAGTTACCAAAAGCGACACCAAAGAAGAAGAGAAGAGTAGAACAAAGTGAAAGTAGTGAAGAAGTAACTTCATCTAGTGAAAGTAGTGGCAATGAAGGAAAAAGAAGAGTTAAAAACTCAGTCAGGAAGAAAGTAAAGCTTGGTCGGAGTGGGTTCTATTATGACATATAAATCCAACTATTCTATATTTTTACCCATATGAAATGTACGCCGCTCAGAATATAACGCCAACAGTTTTGGATGCCATGAATGGAAATGTTTCCGAATGGTATAACGAATGCGACAATGCCATTAGAAGGTCAGAAATAGTTCCTGGAACTTACGAATATACAACTGCTGTTTCTTATGGAAACGTAGGTGAGTTTGGAGAAGGTTCTTCAACAACAGTAGATATTGCTTGCGACAGGTTTCATATAATTTCTATTGACAACTCTTTCTTATACGTGGAACAAGACATTGAAATAAAACCTTCTGCCAAGTTGTCTGACAAGAAAGGTTGCAATGGAATTTTCTATGTCGGATACCAATATGCTCCAGAAGTTTTCATGGGATATAAGATATATTCTAACTCTGACTTAGTTCAAACAGTAACATGGGCAAACTATGAATGGTTCGCTTTGAGAAACTCAGTACAACCACAAGCTAGAGAACAAACAGACCAGTATGCAACTATTGAAAAAATAAGAAGACTTGACCCTAACGTTCCAGGAGTTTATGTTGACCTTTCTGGACAAACTGCAGCAGCAGTAACCAAAGTAAAACTGAAACTTAGAGTTCCTTTGTCATCTTTCCTCATCTTCAGGTTTTTAAGATACTTGCCAAACTGGGCAGGAAAAATTTCTATCGAACTTACTCCAAGCAAAAATAACTTAGTCATTGCACCAACACAAGACCCATTCACTCTACAGACGTAAAGGGAGCAAATCAAACGTCATTCGCCGAATTTTGCAAAGACAAAGTTGACTTAGACTTTGGTTTCTCAAACCTCAACACTGAAGTAAACTATTATTTCAATGCTGCTGGAACTGCTTGGGACCCAGTTAAGTTCACATGCGAAAGTTTGAATACAAGAGAATAGAAAGCAGACTTGCAGTCTATATGTTGGACCCAGATATTTCAAATGCTTTAGCTGCCAAATATATTGCAGTTCCACTTATGTTCCCTATACACCAAATATCTGTCAAAGACTTTGCAGGTGAAGTTGGAAACCAAAGTGCTGACCCAGGTGCAAGAACAGATATTGCCTTAACAACTGCATGAAACATGCAGATACTATGTTTGTACTGTTCAGACGAACTATAAATGACTATTCTTGTTTCTACAACCCTGGTATTAAATATCATATAAACATAGATGGCAAATATTATCCAAGAGAAGAATATTCTACAGTTGAGGATATGAGGTCATACAACTTGACATTAGATGCTATGAACTTTAACAACAACTTCACAACAACCATTAACCTGAAATGCAAAGTTCTATTATGCCATATGTGAAAGTATGGACTCATGCAGGAGGTCAAAAAACTCAATATACAAATGGAGACCGTTCAAACTTTTGGCTTGGCATTCCATTTGCTGACTCAGAAGACTTTATGGGTGGTATTTCAACTGTTGGTACAGTTCAAATACAATATACTGGTGACAGAGACGGTCCAAATGAATTGAAAGCAAAGAAGTTTACAAAACCAATAGCACTTTTCACGGAAGATGCTCTTTTGAAAATTCGTTCGATGAAACCTGCTGGGGCTCCTCAGATTGGTATAACGACAGCTTCCATCGAGCAGATTTTGGCAGCAGGTCAGTAAGTTGTTCTGAACTGACTTCTCTCCGTCAAATATTGACAGTACGCCAGTTTTGACATAGTATTGTATTATAAACTTACCTTTAGAAATATCGGTCAGTTTTGTTGTTATATTTTTGTCTGCTTCAAGAACTTTCACCATCTCGGTTATACCAACTTTCTTTGCTTTATGAAAATATTTTGGTTCAGCAAAGACTGCTATTCTATAACATTTTCCATTGTTTGTATAAAGAACTATTCTATCAATGAACTTGTATTGTTTGTGTGTTGTAAACTTTTGTTCTGCTTCAATTCGAAGAGATACTCAAATACGTCCATCTTTTTATTCTAAGTAAAATGTCATTTCCGAAAAATAGAAGCGTAAGTGTTTCAAAAGGTTTAATGGCGGTGGCAGATGTGAAGTTAAATTCACCAACTCAAACAAACAGTCAAAGTGTTGTTGTCAATGTCAAAGACAGAGATGTTGAAGTGGGGAAACCATACGAAACGAAGATGGTATAACAATAGTTCCTGTAAAAGAACCAACATACCCTGAAGTTAGCAGAGACTTAAGTTCTGTTGCAGATATTCGAAACGACTACCAACAACTTAAAGACAAACTTAAAACTCAGGAGAAGATTTGTCAGGCTTTGGGTATAATGTTAAACTTGGTCGAACACAACCCTGTAAAAGTGAACTCATATGTCATCGCACCTCGTGAAGTTTTGAAAGAACTATTGAAACTTTTGACAGAGGCAGACGATATAAACATCAAAGAAATAGAACCCGACATTGCTTGCTGTGGTGTTTCATATAATGTCATTGACAAGATATACGTTATGAGGGTGAAACGTTGAACTTAAAATATAGTTTCCCAGACGTTATAAAAATATTTGACGACCACAACATTTCATTAAAATTTACTTGCTAAGTAAAAATGTCAAAACTTCTTGAAAGATGTTTGAAGAAAAACAATATAGACTTTATTTCATGTAAAGGACTTTCACACTTTTGAACGATATGAAAGACCCTGTTTTGTTTGTTGTGTAGACAAAGGAAAGTTCTATGTCTTTACAAAAATATTTGAACTTCTTAGACAGAGAACTTCAGAAACGCCATGTGAAAGTTTAGATGAAGTTCTTCTCCACTTTCAGAAAAACTTTTAAATATATGTAAATGGCAGAAGACATAGTGGTTTATACTATTACGACTAAAAACCCTGAGTCATATAATTCTATAACAACAAACTTACAAAGTCCTCAAGGACGATATTGTAAACTGACCTTAAACACGATGACGACTAAAGCCTGTTTTTGCTCTTTTGACACCAGAAGACTTTGTTGTTGTGAATGGTAAAAATACTCCTTTGAAGATACTTACTCAGATATACCACCAACAGGTTTTGTTGACTTATTTAATACTTTAAGTACGGTGTAACATGTGCTGCAACTAGAGCAGGTTTCATTATGTTTGGATGTCCGACTGAGTTTACTATAAACGATATGAGCTATAATACAAAACTTATATCTGGTTTTTACTACCAACAGTTTCCTATAACAGGAAAAGGTGTCATACAAGGTTTGTCTGTTCCATTGACTTTAAGCACACCAATCTTATATATTGTTTCAAACTTAGGTTCAAAGTGCTATTCGAATGTCGACAGAAACTACTATGACCAAAAGATACTCATGCGTATAAACAACACTTTCTCTGCTGGTTTGCCTATTGTTCATTCGAATGCAGAGTTTTCAGCTTTAGTAAACTCAAACACTTTAGCAAACATAAACTTAACCTTAGTTGACGCAAACTTTGTTCCTGTAAAACTTTTATGTCCTATGTATTTGTCAATGACGGCAGAAAGTTTCGAATTGGAAGATGCAACTGGTGAAAGTATTGTACTACAAGAACAACTTCAACAACAAATAGCTCAAGAACAACAAATGCAACAAATGGAACAAATGCAACAACAAAGTCAAGAATAAAAAAAATATTTTTTTTTATTTTTATAAAAATGTACAGAATAGATGTTTCAGATTTTTGACTTCCAAGCGTTCAGAAATATGTGTCCATTTCGAGACTATAACAAGCAGTCGAGAATTTGAAACGTTTAGTCATTTATGTCGACTCTGCCCCAGAATGTTATGTCATGAAAGAATGGGATGTTGTCTTTAACAAACCAAGAGCAACAATAGTTTCAGAACAAGAATGTAGACAGAAACTTAAGAAAATAAAAGTCGTACAAGTTGGTATGAAGATGTTAGATGCTTGGATATCTTATTGTCAAAGTTAGAAGATTTTTCAGTTCGTGGTATAAAGTTCTATACACCTTCTCCAAACTTCTATTCTATCTTCACTGGATATAAATACGAACAAGTAGAATGGAAAGAAAATGTTATAGAAGCTTGGTTAGACCATGTCAAAGAAATTATATGCAATGGAAACGAAAGAGTCTATGAGTATATCTTATGTTGGTTTGCAAACATCTTACAACATCCAAGTGCTAAAAATGAAACTGCTCTCATCATAATTGGAAAACAAGGAACAGGTAAGAACACTTTCTTTACAGATATCTTATGCAAACTGTTAGAGGGCTATTCGAAACCGAATATGACAAACTTAGAAACATCTGCGGTAAATTTAACTCTTCAATAGAGAATATGAAACTTATAGTATGTAACGAACTTCAAAGTATAGATACAACAAAGGTTTTAAACTCAGATGCTTTGAAGAGTCTTATAACAGACAAAGTTGGAGTTGTTGAAAGAAAGTATAGAGACCAAAGAGTTTGTGAAAATGTTGCAAACTTCGTCATGGTTTCAAACAACGCCGTTCCGATGAAGTTAGAAAGTTCTGACAGAAGATATGTAGTTGTCAGAACGTCAGAAGCTCATATGCAAGATACAGAATATTTTGACGACTTAGCAGAAACTTTGACATCTGACTTTTACAACCACTTGTTCTCATATTTCATGACATTAGATATTTCAAAGTTCAATCCAAGACAAATTCCACATACCGAAGAGAGACAAACATTGTTAGAAGCAAACAAGAGTGTATATGAACTGTTCATAGATGAAACTGACTTTGAGTGTTTAGATGAAAGGTCATTGTACGATTCGTATAAACAATATTGTCAAGAGTATGGTTATATGACAGCGTCTAAACGAACATTCTTGGCAAATGTCAAAAGTCTTTTAGACGTACAGAATGGTGTATATACAAAGAAAAATTTTTCTGAGTAAATTTTAAAAAAAAATATTTTTTTTATCCGATAGAAAAGATGACAAAATTCATCTCAGTCAACAAGTACATGTCAGGACTTAAAGAAGAACTAGACCCATTCACATATTTGAATGTTTACTTCTACCATTTTGAAAAGTCTACATTTG